GGGGGGGGGGGGGGGGGGGTGATTCGCTACGAAAAACACAGCCGGCAGAGGAGAAAATGGCATGCGCCACACAACCCCCACCGTCGGAGCGTGTCCTGCAAAACGATCTTTCCCTGTGGGAGAAGAAACTTCACCTTTGGAATCCAGTAGCACATGCCCCGATCGACGTTCCAGACTTCGCTCTGCATGCAGCGCAAGTCGCTCAGGAAGCACAGCCAGAAGAGCAGGATCAGGAAGACGAAGATGGAGGCGCTCAGGATGTAGGCCGCGGAGAACACCTTGGCCCAACCGGTGTACACGGTGCCCCACACGAACGGTTCGTCGAACCAAACCAGCGCCCACAGCAGCGCCTTCGTCCACTTCTGGTGGAACGTCTTGGCCAGCCCGGTGTCCCTGCGGTGCCGCTTGACGGCCGACATGAAGCCCACACCGCAGGGGCTGAACATCACGAGCATGGTCGTGAACAGCCACACGTACTTGAAGGCGATCTCGAAGCGCGTGAAGTCGGGGTTGATGGCCGTTACGCGGCTCTGGGCCCTGAAGAGCGGGCCGAAGTGGTCGCGGCCCTCCTCCACGGTGACCAGGTACTCGTCTGGATCGGGGAACTGTATCGCCAGGGAGAACTTTTCGTGGTCCACGAAGTCGCGCGTGAAGAGGAAGAAGAAGTCGCAGTAGTCCGCGTCCGCGTCCGGGCAGTACTGCGAGGAGTTGACGATGTACTTGTCCACCTCTTCGAAGACGGCGGTCTGGTTGTCGGCAGGCCCGTTCAAGTACCAGGAGTGCATCTGCTTCGTCAAGAGGGCGCAGTGTGGTCGTGTGTGTTGTTGTTGTTGATGGCGGTGGAGACGGTGTTGAGTCACCAGGTCATTTCATGAGACAAGAGTGGCATGGAGTCACGACTTACTACTGGTGGATCAGGATGATAACAAGAGGTGGTTGAAAAGGGGGGAGAGGTAGCATCGCGTCAAGGAGATAAGGTCTAACGGGTACCAGTAACCTCGAGCACAACTGTGAAGCAGCACAAGGACGAGGGCCGGTGACGATGATGATTGCCGCGGCCGTGGTGGCTTGTTACCGTAGGTGGCACAAGATGTCACACCCCCTGGGTCGATTTTCGAAGCTACATTTCTCCACTGCAGAAAGAGTGGCGATACAGAAAATGTCGACGTTGGAACCGTCTTATCGAGCGCCTTACCAACTCGTGCCGTTTGGATTAGACATCTTCTTCGAGTAGTCGAGTTCTGAAAATCGTTCCAGGGGGTGTGATATCTGGCGTCATGGCACCTACGGAAAGTGTATCGATTTTCTCAACAGATACTCTGTACCCACGAAGTCGGCCATCACCTTGAGTACAAAAAACGTACACCACGCCAGCAAAGGAGAACACTGAAAAGACTCCCCCACGATTGATTGTTCACCGTCGCCGTTTTTGTCGACAAATCACTGCACCCCTGGGTTAACCCTGCCATACAAAAAGTAGAAAACAGAGGAGAGTACGTTGTGACTCCCCCTCGATTCTTCTTCGCGCGTCCGGTTGCCCAGCCATTTGCAAGCTTCTCGATGCACGGCCGGAGAAGGTGGCGACGACTACCAATTCCACCACGCTCAACTTCGAAAGAAGGCGGGTTGAAAGCGGCCGCTGAGCAGCCCATGCCACCAAAGAACTGGTTGTCTGCTTGTTGCTTCTCTTTTCTTCTCGTATCGGCTGCCAAATGTGTTCCTTCTTCACGTACGTGCCGAGATTTATTGTAGTCTAATGGTTTGATTCGGCTTCTAAGCTTGCCAGCTTGGTGTCCGACGGCAAACCAGACCCAACCTCTTGTTTTCTGGGCGTGGCCGGATCAGACCAATGTACAAAAAACACCAATAACGACCATAGCCCATCGTGGAGCGCACAGCAATCCCACGCCTAGCACCTACCGTCATGATCACATCCGACCGGATCAGATCCAAAGATCAAACAACAAAGACGACGATACCCAATCGTGGAGCGCAGAGCAGCATCTCCCAAAGCCCAGCACACCCACCGTAATGATCATATCCACGTCCGTCGTCAGCGGCGTGGTGCCGTTCAGCAGGCCGTCCCCGGTGCCGAGGCGGAGGTCCATCCAGAAGAGCTGGTGCTCGCTCGAGAGCTCGAACTGCGGGTGGAAGAAGTTCACCTGGTCGTTCTTGCGGTAGGTGAGGCTCTCCTCGCTGTCGTCGGAGATGGCTACCATAAGAACGTCCGGCGCCCCATCCCCGATCCCGAGAAGGATGATGAACGCCACCAGGAACGCTACGCCCAGCAGCACTGTTTGGTTGTACCGTCGCGTGGGGGGGGGCAGGGGAGTTGGTGATGGCGTCGTCTACTCGCGACTGGTATGTATCCGTTGTTGAAGAGTCAAAAACGATATGTAAAGAGGTGCGGACACGGTAGGCATTCGGCTTGACTAGTTGCTCGAAGACAGGGGGGGGGGGGGGTGCTCATGGCCGCGTGCATGCCGTAGTCGTCAGAACCGTTGACCTCGCATCCCTACAAAGCCGGGACGGAGCGCGCCGGGTTGTCACCGGTCCAGGCTATCACATCATCAAGCGCGAAGCGCCGCGAGGTATTCGGCGAGTCCAGTCGCATGTAGCGTGTGCTGCATCCTGCCAAGGGTGTTCGGCATGCTTGTGGTTGCTTCCTTGCATACGGATGACAGCTGCGAATGGCTTCGTTTATTTCCTGGTGCTTTCACTTCCACAGACAGTCTTGAGTACTGTGAAACTGTCTTGATGGTGCTTGACGAATGTGACACAACGTGGTGCGATCATCCGCTTTGCGCGGAGTGTTCTCGACCTTGCACAAAATGACCTACCTTCGACAACCATCATGGTTATCGCATACAAAAACGGCGGCGGGGGGGTGAGAACTCATGTAACCGCATGCCGTAGTCGGTAGACATAGACCTCGCATCCCGGCATGCTGGGACCGAGCGATACTGCATGCTGGGTTTTCGCCAACCCATGTAACATTTCACAAGGGTGGACCAGCTGGCTATCATCCTTGCGCTTGCTGTGCCAAACCAGATAGGACGGGGGGGTGTTGGTTTCGCTCTCTGAATGCTGCGTGTTGGAAATGTTCAGCATTCGAACATGCCTCTCGATACCAGGCTTGCGCATGAAGTGACAATGAGCCGCGGAGCGGCGAAACATGCGACTCTTTTTTTACCTTTTTATTTCTATCTTCATCCCAAAAGGGCAAAAACAAGGCTGTGTTCATTGCGTCCGCAAAACTGAAAAAGAAAGAAAGAAAAACGAAACACACCCAACCTGTATAATATCGGCCTCTTCCAACCGCGATGCAGGGTGCCGAACTTGATTTCCGGGGGGCCTAAACAACCCTCCTGGGGTAAAATTGATGTCAGTCAACGACTTTGTCTGTTGCACCGGGACACCTCTTTCTTTCACATTCGCAGGCTTGAGACGAGTGAATGTGGCAGGTAAGTTGTGGGCCTGCTGCCGCATCCATCTGTCACGATGCTACCCTATGCCGCTGCTGGTGCTGCGGCGGTGTGACTTTCCCCCGGTATGCGTATTTGCGCCTGCAATCTACATAAGCACCTGTGCACACAGCTGAAATACTTCATGTTTGGTTCTTCCCCCAGTGCGTGGCATCGACGGTAGGAACGGGAAACAAGCATCCGCGCCACGGGCCGCCTATTGTACCTCCGTCGGCACACAAGCACCTCCTCGTCGCTCCTCGCCACACACATCTATCTGTGCCTGGTGCACCTGCAGCTACACTACAACTACAACGCTGCTGTGCGGGCGGTGCTCCTCGCCCTGGTGCTGGTGTATTTTCAGCAGCGTTTTAACATCGCATTGCGTTGACTGCTGCAAGCAAGGTACTGAGCCGTACCGCGCGGCTCAGTAACCCGCCCTACCTACAGCAGTATAGCCTGGGCCAACTTTTCGCCAATTCAATTCTTGCAAATACATAAGCGATAAGCACGGCAGGGGTGCGTGCTCCAGCTTCGCACAAATCATAGCGGTATGCATCATAGTCTTCTCTGTCGATATCTCGGTGAAGGCGATGCCGGAACTATTTATTCTACTTTCAGTCCGATTGCACCTCGGGGGACGATCGTTCTCAGGTGGGCATGGATTGTATGCATTGTGGGGTACCAAATAAGCCGTCACGCATTTGGACGCAACATTTACTACAGCAGTGACTACAGTATGCATGTTCGGCATTCTGAGCGCCAGTCCCACACTACAGCATACTGATGTCAGGTTGGTTCGAAGTTTGTTCGACGCACCGATAGACATGCATGGAAAGCGAACTGCTGTTGCCTGTCCGAACGTGTATATGTCCTTTGCAATTTCTACATATTTTGGTACCTATGCTTATGCATAAGTGCATAAGTGCATAGGTGTGTGTATAATCATGGAGAGGAACGAGCCGTCCAACTACTACTGCTGTACTCGAACAGAGAAAAACTGCTGTCGTGTTTCGAGGAGGACTTAACAGTACAATGCTCGACACCGAGACTTCTCTGTCTCTGGCGGCGGGAGTCCAAAGGATGGCAGGAGACGGCAACGTACATTGGTGACATACTTGAAGTACATTAAGTTACGTTGCGAACCGGGATTCTGTTCTTCTTCTTGTTGCCAGGCAGGCAGCAGGCGGTGGATTTTCGACCAAGTAAATGCGATAGGACACCGAGTTGCCGCTGCTGTGGAACGCATAGCTCATGATGTCGTGTGCTTGATTCGCGAACAGCCCAGTCGCCCAGCAGTCGAAGGGAAAAGGGGGGCAGAGGACACACGCCTGTCGCTGCTGTGATAATGGTGTACATAGTCTCTTCCTCTTTCTGGTGCTGATAAATCGTGGCGCTTGTCATGTGAGTTATCTCCATATTGCCGAAGGTTCCCGATGCCTGCAGCTTGCCTACAGAGCACCTGCATATCTCTCTCACACAACAAACCATTGCCTTGAGCGTCATGTTTGGCCAATCACAGCACCGGGGAAGGTGTTTCGACAACAGCAAGGGCAGCACTCCGCACTCCGTCTTCTTGTTTCGCCGCAAGACGCCATCGCGGCAGAAGGAGAGGCGCCGAGACAAAACTCGGAAGGAAATTGAAAGAGAAACAGCAACCGCTGTACAAACATACTTACTGCTGTAGGTCGCAGGTCCACTCACATACGCAGCCTCGTGACCGCGGGCGCTCTATTCGATTCACCATCCTAGCATCCAGAAAGTAAAACGGCCAAGGCGAGCTGCTGCGGTGTGTGTGCAGGGCTCCAGCTCTCCTCCCTTCGCTTCTGCTGGAGACCTCCAATTCAGCCCTTGTAAGGGTGTTGGGTCAGCGGATGTATTGGTCCGCGCCCTTCTCTCCAACCAGCACAAACAACCTGCTTGTTTGCCCCTCGTGCCCTCGTGTTTATTGCGCCGCGTTGGAGTTGCGCAGAGGCGTACAGCAGTAACAGCCGTTTTTTTTCTTTTGGTCTTGTTTGGTTCTCTTCTTTCTTCCGCCTCTCTACTCGCTACGCATCCTCCTCGGTCGGAGGTTGGTGTGCTGCTTGGTTGGTGAGTCATGGTAGGCTGGCTGGTGTCGTGATTGATGTAAACCGCTCAGGCTCGGATGGTACTCTGTACGTATTGAAGTACTTCCCATTCTGATTCACCCCACCTTTCTTTGCACTACTACCGTCTCGAGGTGTCGAGTGTCGTTTGGCAACATAGACTACAGCAGTGTGTGTGTATGGAAGTACGAGGTACAATAATAGTCGAGAGCAGAGTCGGGGGATGCATGACGAACACGAAACGAAAAAAAACGTCACCACATCATATATCTGCCGTCGGGTCTGTCCGGAAACCATCTCTCTCTGCACATGTACTTGTAGTAGACAGACAGGCCGAATAGCGACGACAAGCGAGGCAGCCGTCTAGAGAATTCATTTACGCGTGGAATACGGAGTTCGCGATGAGTGAGGAGATTGCCGCCCGTATCGAGGAAAATGAGGCGATCAAGAGCTTCATTGCGCACAGGGATGCAGGTGATCTGTGTGATTCGCGTGTAAGTAGATGCAGGTGCCGTATGTGCCACTGATCGATTCAATAGTGGTATACTGCAGTACTGCATACAGCAGTATAAATATGCAGTACTGCATACAGCAGTATAGTATGCCCGACAGACTGCTCGTGCTGATGGCATAGTCTATGTACATGCGTCGGTGCAGTTCCGGCAGGCGTGCAAAGACATGCCTCCACGGGCCAGGGTTATTCTTGGCCTTTGTTTTCTTTCTCGTAGTACAATGTTCACACCCTTTCTTTGCGTTCGGATCCCACATGCGCACGGGAGGAGGGTAAGTTCTTTTGTACTTGTCTTGTATGCGCATCAGGAACAACCGGGAGAAAGCGGAGCCTGTGTGACTCAGCATACGCTGCCGATAGGTATCAACTCTGAAGTTCCGTTCCCGGACACGTTTTTGACGACAAAGAAGAGGATTACTGTAGTCTGCTGTACGGTGATTCATGAAGTAACTACAGTAGCGTCGCTACAATAATATTTGAAGTACAGCAGTAAATGTCTGATGGTGTACCCGGTATGTATCGTCTTTCAATCAAGAAACGTATCGATGCCGATGAACCAATTCGCGCGCAGACATGGTCCAGGAAGCTTGCGCCGGCTTGGGAACTGATGATGAGCAGCTCATGATCATACTGTGTTGCAGGACCAAGGCACAGCTAGAGAGGATCGATCAGGCCTACCGTGCGAAATACAAGAAAACCCTTTGGGAAAAAGTGAGGACATATACATAGCATGGAATAGCAGACCAACGCGCGGAAAGGCCGTTGGTTGTGTAACCTGTGGTCATCAATGTGTCTCTTAAGGATTGGTGCCAAAGCGTCGAAGTGACACGAAAAGATGTCATGATTGTGTGAGTACTGCCATCCACATACTTCGAAGTACGTGAGCAGCACTTGTGCTGGGACAGTGAGCAAGGCGTTAGACAACACGAGGAAAGCATACAGGGATGTTTTTTTGTTTCCTTCATCCACCGTCCTCCTACAGTGCGTTTAACTATTTCGCGGGAGGTTCCAGCCGTTTCCGTTCCCTCGTCGATCGCGATGTCGAACAATACACATGTTCTACGAAATTATCGCTACCATTTTGTCTGGGCATAATGTGCGCAAGAGAACCTCGTGTGACCACATGCGCCGAGATTCGAACACATGTACTGTACTGCGTATGTCCAAAAGTCAAAAGATCACGAGGTTACCAACAGAAGGGTGCCATAAATTGTAGCGTCACGATCCGATGACGTATGCTTGACAAGCGTTTTCCCGCAGGTTCGGCATGGTCGAAATAAACAATCGCAACACGTCTCGAACCACTGGAAGAGCCCGAATAAACGGGCAAGACGTGCGAGCTGGCGTGTCCGTCAGGGTGGTGTGATGGTAACCCCGCAGAATTTCTTGGCAATATGGTGTTTAAGGTGCTTGCTCTATATCGCGACTACGCGGAGGTGCGCGTACTCTTATGTTTTTGCATGTCTTAGCGGTTAGGTAGACCATTCACCACACGTCCTCGAGAGTACGGAGCATTGTTCCCACAGGACCGATCACCGATGGCCAATAGTTCCTTCCTACTTTGCCCAAGGTGGCTTAAAACTGCCTTCCCCAATCTATCTATCCTATTGATATCACTTCCCGCCTTTTCAACCCACTTCCTATGCTCCAGTGCAGCTACCGTTTTCTCCTGGCTATTCCATGCCTCAAACATCTTCCTGTATCTTCTTTCTACTTTTCCCAGCTCAGTCATGTACACTTCCCTCTCCTTCTTGTACAACGTACATTCCGCACCTACATGAACCCGGTCTTCGCACTCGGAGCCGTAATCACATTTGAACTTGTCGTCTTCATCGTCTACCTTCCTAAATCTTCGTCTACGTTCTCGAAGGCCAATGTCTCCGGTCCTGAACTTGACCTTCAACTTGTTCCTGCATCCATTGGGCCATGTAGGTACTCCAACATGAACCCTAGTCTTTCTTTCAACATTCCGTACACATCTACAGGAGACTCTCCATATCCTTGGTTTCTTCGGTTCGATTCTGTTCTTCTCTGTGGGCAAAAACAACAGATATCTATATCTTCTCCATGAACCCATCTAGACTTTCCGTGTTCAGCTTATCACATTCGCCGATTTCGAACTCCTGCCACACGTCATCTACCACCTTGACCCACTCCGTGGGTTGTCTACCCCTCTCTTCTTGTTTGCCCACGTCGCCCCTAAGTTTTTATCGGCAACCTCTTCTCTCCCGTACCGCACATGCGGTACTGCCATTTTAGCTTCCTTTCGTCTCTTCACGATCGAAGGGATGAGATCTCCAGTTCTGCCCTGACGGCTGCATTACTTGTGCGCTTGGAGCATCCTAGGATGATTTCGCTGCTTTCATCTGCACCGACTCGAGCTCTTTGACTACCTTCCTAATTCCTTCCCAAAATTCTGACTACGGGGGGGGGGGGGTGTACTCATAGTCGTGCATGCCGTAGTCGTTTGACCATTGACCTCGCATCCCTACAAAGCCGGGACGGAGCACGCCGGGTTCTCACCGGACCAGGCTCTCACATCACCATGCGCGAAGCGCCGTGGGGTATTCGGCGAGTCGCATGAAGGGTGCGCTGCATCCTGCTAAGGGTGTTCGGCATCTTGTGCCTACTTCCTTGCGTACTTGGTGACAGCTGCGTATGACTTAATTTATTTTCTGGTGGTTTCACTTCCACAGACAGTTATAAGCGCTGTGTAACTGCCTCGAGTGTTTGACCATTTTTACACAACGTGGTGCGATTATCCCCTTTGCACGGAGTGAGGGTTCCCGACCCCGCACAACATAATCTACTCGACCACCATTCATGGTTACCGCAAAAAAAAAAGAGGCAAAAACAAAGCGGTAACCTGGTTGCCGAGCTCACGAAGTGAACGGCTTGTTTTACAACATCGCTGCCAAGCGACGAAAACCCGACCCCGATCCCGATGGCAAAATTTACCGGGGGGGGGGGGGGGGCTACGGGGGGGAGGGGGGGGATTTATGTTGTGCATGCCTCATCGATTGAACTTCCATTTCGCGATGGAAGGTACTTGGATATGTCGAGCGATCCTATCGTGCCTAGCAGCAACGACGTTTACTCAACTGCGCCGCCACCGAAACGGGGCAACACTCGACCCGGAACATAAAATAATATTTGCACCCCGGTGATATGCAGCCATCGCTTGTCTCTGACGTCTAATAATAGGTGAAGGGTGATGTAGGCGGAAACTACAAGAAGATGATGCGGTACGCCTTGATGAAGCGAGACGAGTTCGTGAGCCACGTCATCGACGAGGCCTGCAGCGGCCTGGGTACCAACGAATCCCTGCTGATAGATGTGAGTTATTCATTGATTATCCAACAGATTCACTTTGCTCACGAGCAGCACTTGTGTGTACCTCTACAAACTATTCCCCGTGTGTGCAAGCAGCATGGAGCTCTGGTTCGGCAGAGAAAGAGCGGGAAAGTACGGCATTTCGTTGTAAGCTACCCAACCGTTCCACCGCACAAGCCGTAGCACATGCGTTCGTTCATGTCGGAGGTTCTTCAAGCCATCTTGTCAACAAGCACGCCCATAAGAACATGAAGTACACGACGAAGAACGAAAGCGTCGCCCCGGTCCTCCCGGTCGCGCTGCATGCCTCCGCAGGTGCTAGCGCCCCTGAACAACGATGAGATCGCCGCCGCGAAAGCTCACTGGGAGGCCAAGAACGACGAGTCCCTGGTAGACAAGCTCAACTCCGAGATAAGGGGGGGGTTGAGGGAGCTAATCGTTGGCCTTCTTACCGGAAAACGAGGGGAAAGCGAGGAGGCGGACGAGGTGTGTGTCCGGCGTGGGTTTGTGAACGATTGATGGATGGAGGATCAGTCAGATTTTGGTGCACGCACACACAGCATGCTTTGTTTACGCGGTCGTTTCGTTCGATCGACCGGTCGGATACATCACCAAGGTAGTACTTGCTTGGAACCAAAGACACATCCGGACCATCCGTCGTGCAGAGGGTACAACACTATAGCTGTTTTATTGGCTGCCTAGGCTTTGGGAGTACGCACATGCCCAGGATTCGTGTGTCTTTTATCGTCGAGTTGTACACAGTACGAGGTGGCCACTACACATGGTATCCCGTTATCACCTAGCGCACCTCCTCTCTGCGTCTCTATACCGGCAAAATTAAGCGATGGTGATGACCTCCACGGCCGTTAACCACCATGCCGCGCCGCAGGGCTTCCAGAGGAAGGTACCCACTTTGAGGATGCTAGTTCGGAAGTCAACACGCCCATATGCTCGCAAAAGAACGCAGCTCTTTTCGTAGCCAACCGAATTGACGATACGTTTGTATTTCGTCTTCTGTCCTGGTGTATCAGGCGCTGGCTGAGGAACAAGCTACCAAGCTCTACGACGCGGGCGTGGGCAAATTCGTGGGAACTGGTACGTACTAAGTCCTAGCCCGAACTTGTAGGTAAGAGCTATTTAGGGTGCGACACCGGCAGAGAAACGTGTATGAATGGCTACTCGAGCAACTTGTAGTCTTGGGTGTCAATGACGGCATCTCAAGTATATCTACACGGAGGTGGATTTGGGGCGTAGACGTACGGAAATTTCGGTAAATTTTCCATCCTCACGTATACACTCGAGTAGGTGTAGTAGTCGAGGGAGTGTCTGCGACAAATCCTTCGCGGCCTGACATATGTCAATATTCGTTGTTCAAGAGGGAAGTGACACACATCTGCTTGCAAAATAGAAGATATTCCACAAACAAGAGTTCTGAGGCGGGGGGATAGTCGAGGCACGTACCTCCCTCTTCTCAGACGGACCTATCACGTGTGCAACGTCCCAGGTGGTAGAGAGTCGGGCGGGACGTTACCGCGTTTCCTAGTAAGGCCGAACGGTGGTTGCCAGCGTAAGGTCACTTCTCCAAGTGATCGATTCTCGAAAACACGAACATCAACCACCGCTTTGACTGAAGTTTCTAGAAACGTTCTAGGCATACCGTTGCAAAGGGTTTAGACAAATGCCATTTCTGGATGCTTTCGTCCCTGCCGTATTTTTCTTGCCGTGTTTGCCTTGTTCTCGTGTTTCCTCGCCCCAACCGCCTGCGACAGTCTAACTGCTCATCATATTATTCTTGGTTGTTGCAGACGACGAGGTGTTTATCGACATCATCGGAACGTCCCCGTCGGTGCAGATACAAGCCATCAAAGTAAGAGGGAGAGGGGAGGCACAAAGAACACCACAGCAGGAGTCGTGAACCCTCAAACAGATCGCCCAGCTCCTCTTCTGGAGGTCATTATCATTGATATTTTCGTGCCCGGACATCGCACTCGTGACGGTGACATGACGTCGTTAGGTGGAACAAACCGGAACATAAATTGTCTTTCTGAATAAAAGTGAGCGAATGCTCCTCACAACTTTCAGCCGGCTCGGGTTATCATTTTCTGCCCTATGATCGACTGTGAGGAACACATGGATTGGCTAACAAACGTTTGCTCCTCCTGATAACACCCCGCTTGCTGGTTGCCGGTGCCATTGTAATTGGGCCGGAACGCACAGACCAAATACGAGGAAGCGCAGGGGATGTCCCTCCACAAGGCCATCTCCAAAGAGTTTCGCGGTGACCTCAAGGCAGTCCTTCAGGTAGGCGACAACAAGAACATTATCTCCCCAATCTGACAACAATACGCTCTGCGAAAGGCAGAGCGAGAGAAATAATTGCCGCAGTAAGGCACGAGGGAGGGTGTGCGTGTCCCTCCTTCTTACACGCAAGCGCCCCGCAGGGAATAATTGGTTAGGAGAGTGCCTTTCAACGATTGACGACTACATATGGTGTACCCACCTACGGTGGCAACGTCAGCGCAACATCAACTAGCATCCCCCAAAGCGAGCGACCACCACGGCAGTTTGCCCTGATGTTTTCATCCTATCAGAGGTCCACAACGCGCGAACTCCCTCCTCATCAAAGCAACATAGTAGTAGTTTGTTGCCCCGGTCGATGCTACTGAACATGTGCCATTGTCGCTCGTGATGATGGCCCGCACTATCCAACCGAACCATCTGCGAAAGGAGGGTATGAAGAGGATCTCCACACATCCCCAGCAAAAAAATGGGTGAAAGCCACCACCTCGTCGACCTGACTTGAGACTTGATTCGCTGCTTGTCTGGTGGCGAAGACCTGGTACACTCCGCCTCGGTTTTGCAACGATTCGATGGTTTACGCGATCCGACCGGGCCGATTGACCACGAGTGCGCCTCCTCTCCTGACACGCTTCCCACACCCTCCGCGCAGTGCATGCTGGAGCCCCCCGTAGATTATTACTGCGCTACTATCAGAAGGGCGACCAAAAGAATGGGCACAAACGAGGTATGGTTGAGGTTTTTGTTCATCCCCCGGGTCAACGTTTTGTAGTGTTGTCTTTGTCGAACAACACCTGTACCTCCGATCTCATCCATCTGAAAGGAAGGCCCGTGATGATAAACTATTTGACCATACCAATCAAAAGACGCACTCCTGACGCGAGTGAGCCACTGTCTGTTCATGTAAACGTGTGTTTCGCAAGTACTTTTCACTCTGCATGTTAAAGGTGATGGAAGGCTGTGTTGTTATCTTGACCATGTCGGACGAGTTTGCTACAGGCTTCAATCAGACATTGACAGGTTACCTACATGTTGTTTCGGTTTCAACACAGGCGGCCATTTGCCGCGTTTTGGGAGGCAACGACAAGGGACGGCTGTCTATCATCTCTGAAAGGTGCGAAAAAGTATCAGAAAGGTTATTGGTAAAAACATGTTGTCCTCGGTACTGAGAAGAGAAAGAAACGCAGCGGTTTACTTCAACTCCGTAGGACACCAACCACCCCCCTGTGTGTACCCCCCCAACTGTGCATAAATAAAGCAGTTACATGTCGTCCCTCGTGTGCGGCGTTGTACGTATGGGATTGGAGAATTCTTCCCAAGGATGTGCAAAGGCAGCGTGCCCAAATTTGAGTTTTTTTCGAAGAAACTCCACAAGGTGCTTCTCTACTGCTATGTAAAACAACCACCTCATCCGTATAGGAACTATCTCCTTTATCTCTTCATCTCTTCGATGCTACCACACGTGGTCATGGGAGTCCGTTTCTTGCCGATTGGGTAGCCTAGTTCGGAAGACATACGTTCTGGGCGGGGATCAGAGCGGTTTCGCGTTGTGAACACGAATACAACAGCGACGATAAAAACATCAACGAGACTGAAAGCAAACCGAACGATACTTATCCCCAAAACCAACACTATGTGCCCCTCATGTTCGCACTCATGTTCAAGGTTCACCGAGAAGTACGACACGACCCTTCACGACATGGCTTCGTCCGAGCTCCGGGGGCATTTTCAGATCGCCGTCTCGCTCTGGGTGGACGCCACCGCCGACCCTACCTTTGGGGCAGAACAGGTGCGCTTTAGTTTCAACATCAACTTCGTCCTCAACATCAATACCGTCAACTTTGAGACCAAGACGTTTTCCGTTTGCTCTGTACGAACAGTTGCGAATGACGACGGACGCAGGGAGGTTGCTCTCTTCGTTGGCCGAATGGGTTTGAAGTCTGGCAGCTCTTTGTTTACTCTAGCTGGCATTCCCTCTGTGCCATCTCTAACTAGTTCGTTTACGTTGATACAAGAAGTTAGCTTGTTGTTCCGACGAAGAGGGTGGGATCTTCTACTCACAGATCGTATCCTCGACGAGTAGTGGGCATGCATGTACGTCGGCTTTTCGTCTCTTGTTCGGTCACAACCTTCGTGTTGCACACACACAAACGTGCGCCGACTGTGCATGCATAGGGAGGCTACGAAATCTTCAAGTCCCTCGTCCGAGGAAGACATCGAAAGCATTGCAGATTGTCCGGCAAGCTCACGAAATTTGCGAGACACTACAACACCCGCGTCTGTTTCTTCAAACATTTTCTACCTTAGATTCACACACATCGCAAGAACCACCCACAAAAATAACATCGAATCAACATGTTCAATACCACGTGCGCCCGAGTAGCAACTCGTCGATCTGCCTGAGGGGGAGGATCAAGATGAGAAGCGGTTGAAGCTGTTGGAAGAGGAGAACGACGGATTGAAGACCTACATCGCAAAGGTTGACGCGGAGCAGGTGTGATGAGGACAGGTTGCTTTATATTTGCGTGCCTACATCGTCCACTAGAATCGAACGTGGTACGACCCTCCTCCACCATCGCTACTCGGCACCGACGAAATGGAGCATCAGTTCGACCTTTTGTGCTTCCCCCACACGGCATTCCACCTCCTCGCCTTCTGTGACAACCCGGCGTACATACTACGCTTTTGTTCCACGACGACGACCACCACCACCGCCAACAACAACAACAACCATGATAACAACAAATAACATCGACAGATATGGCGTGCGTGCAAAGGGATGGGTACGAACGAGGGCCGCGTGATCGGCATCATCTGCACCAGGACCAAGAGTCAGGTGGAGAGGATCGACGAGGCGAGTTCGACGTTTTCATGATCCATCATTCACCACTGGCCATCCATCCATATATTGCGGTAGTATTCGGGTTTTGACATGCTCCACCCTTTTCTGCGGCCATGTTCTCGCGACCGGATGGACAACTTCCCGTCTCCCCTTGTCGGAAATCTCCAAAGATTAGAAGTGGTATTGTTGGTGGCAACCCTGATCATCGATGGTTAAACATAAACTCGTACAATCGGTTGAGGAACACGCACAAGACCCCGTTGGCTCCATTCCGCGCGAAAGGCTCGCTGAGAAACTAATCCAACCCTCTCCATTACTCAATGTTCCTCGTTGGATCGAAAATGATTTCTCCGTGCACGAAGAACGCCTCCATGTGCAACAACCTTTATACGGGATGCGAACCGCGGGACATTCAAGAAGGCCCACACCAAGGAAACGGAAGGAAAATTTCCGACATGTTCTTGTTGTTTCAGCCTGTAGCCTAGCGCGGATGTCTTATCTTTTACTGAACAGCTACGAGCAGAGGTCAGAACGATGTTTCTCGACACTGACGACAGCAGCATCAGCACCAGCAGCACCAATAACACCAGCAGAGACACCCCCAACAACATCATCAATATCATCGCAATCGATATTCTGAGATTGTACGCCCCCACGCTGACTGCAGATGTACCGCACGATGTACGGGATGACCCTGAGGGAGCAACTGGAGAAGGATCTAAGCGGCGACCTCAAGACATTCATGGTCTACACGCAGATGGAAACGCAGGAATTCGATGCTCTCCTCATGAAGAAGGCAATGTGAGAAACAAAGAGGCCACATGTAGACTTTGAGATGGACGGGAAGCAGAAAAGTTCAACGAACAACCACACCCTTTTAACAGAGTGGCGCGGAAATTCACAGAAAGGGTAGCCAGAAGATCAAGAAGAAGCTCGTGAGGGAAAAGAGAGCTCGCGTTGTAGACGAGATGCCATCATGGCACACGAGCATCCTAAACCCGTGCGAGTGTTGGGGGTAGGACGCGGGAAACCCGTAAAGAAGACGGGTGAGGAAGCCATGCGAGAGAAATGTTGACACTACGCACCATTCAACCAAAACGGGTACACCATGTGTAAACATTCTGCGGCGCAGCTCCACGCAAAAACGGAAATATTATTGGAGGAAACCGCACCATACTTTCGGAACCAAAGAAATATCGTGCGGTGTGGTGTGTTTTTTTCTTCCTTGCGAAAGATAACCTATTTCTCGAGTCGACTTGAGCGCAACTGGTGTACGAAACGAAGCTGAGCTTTCGTACTCGTTTCTCGACGCGACGGAAAAGCGACCCATCCTGCTGTTCCCAGGGCCGGTATCGGCACAGACGAAGACATCATGATCATGCTGCTCACCACGAGGGACAACGCGGCCATCGCCGCGGCGCAGACTTACTACGAAGGCCGTTACGACGAGAGCCTCGTCGACAAGGTGCCTTTTCGGAGTGTCCTTGATTTTGTTAGAAATATACACACCAAGCATACATACATGTTTTTTCATCGTGCATACTTCTTTTTTTCAATGCATACATATTGATGTACTTTGCATTGGAACTGTTGACTACAATAACACTGAATCGTCACTGGTTTGACAGACGTTACCTACAACATGCTGTTACCAAAGGCTTGAATCGGCGAAGAAAAAGAAAGGACGCGTTTCAACATGATGACAGGATCACTCCCCGAGTTCATTGCAGGCGAATGGATTGATTGCGGGCCTCGTGACCGACAGCAACGTGTGGAGGTTTATATTTTTCAAAACGCTGCATTTATGGGCGCGTTTGCCTGAGGGACAACATGCAAGAAGAGTGGACAACGCAGCGTACTGAATCGATTTTTCTTTAAACGTACTCTCTCTCTCTTTCCTCCTGTTTGCCGTGTCGGCACTTGGTTGCCAAAAGAGGTGGGGATGAGGAGTGTCCTCGTGATTCGTGTGCTTTGTGTGCGAACGTCCCTGTAAATTGTTCGGAACATTTCCCGGAGGGTTCTTCATAATACAACAGGATCTCCGTGACCGTTTATTCTGCCCCTATAGTGTGGGATAAGACAGTGGATTCACTTCCTGTGGCTGGTGAAGTCACCCTTTCCAATTGATTGTTTATGGTAGAAGCTCAAAGGAGTCCCCCTCGCCCCCCTCAATATCAAGAAGATCATCACCACCACCATGCCGCCCCCCCCTATCTCCCCCCAGCTTTTCGTTGCCGTTGTCCTTGGTTCTTCTGGCTTTATTAGTGCTTCGTAAGTGGTTTCCCTTTCACGCATCCCCGACCACACTACCATTGTTCCGGCTTTCTTCGCGTTGGTACGTGTATCTGAGCTTTTCCTCTGGAAAATACCAAATCGTGGTCACCCTCGTCCTATCTCCTTTCCCTCCCCACCCATGCCGATGTCGGAGTCTCAGATCAGCTCCGAGATGTCAGGGGCTTTCCGGGACCTTCTCCTGGTGCTGCTGAGGGGAGAGAGGGACGAGTCCGCAGAGGAGGGAGACCCGGAAGCGGCGGAGGCACAGGCGGAAACACTGCATGACACCGACGGTAGGGATCAGGGGGGTGGATCAGGGGGATAGCTGTTGTTGTTGGTGTTGTTGATGTTGTCGTCGTCGTAGTCCATATATATATTTGTTGTGTGGGTGTTTGGTTCTCTTTTGTGGTATACCTAAATTTTCGCCCGCTCCTAGTTGATCGGTTCACGAGATGAAGCAGGCATCGATGGATCTATTGATCGGGGATCAAACATCAAACATTGTTTCTTCACACTGATCGCAACCTTACTTCTCGTTTCCTAGGGGCAGCTGACTAGATTCATGTGCACTATTCGGTATTACGGGTTTCCTGAAAAACTTTTAGGAGTGTGGAACTGGAGGTAGAGAGCTCCGGCATGTCGACCGCCGGGCTGATCCACTGGCATCGTGGTTCTGTTTTGCTGGTTGTTATTCTCAAAAGAGATGTGACCCAGGTGTTATCTTGATGCTTCGACGTGCCACGAAGAGGATGGGATGACTCTTGCCAGACGCCTATAAGAAAGTTGTGAGCTTGCGACAAATATATCTATGGTGCTAGCTACGATGATGTCGATCGTGATCTCACCCTTCCTGCTATCAAGGGCCATAACCCGCCCCTTCCCCAAAACATTCGTTTACCCGTATGGCATTGTCCTCGGGACCGGCTGCTGTGCCCATCATCCCCATCATCTCCGTAGACAAAAACACCACTTTTGTGGAGGTCCTGGCCAAGTCTTCCAGAGCACAGGTGCGAATCAGACAAAACAATGACACAATTCGCCGAAATTAAACACCGCGCAGCCCTTTCGATACTACTGTCTCTCTTGGTATCTAACAGCAGCCCTTTCGAAACATCTCTGTCAATGTATAGAGTTGTCTTGGTGTACCGCTATTAGGATACTTTTGTTGAGTTGATGCTGCAGAAGGTGAGTACACCATTCCTGCTTCACTCTGTGGTCTCGCGCCCGAGAGACTGCGCCACACTACCCGAACGGAGGGCGGCAGCAAAAATACATCACGAAACGTCATTTTCCTCTCTCTCGCTCTCTCTCTCTCTCTCCCTCTCTCTGTTGAATGGTTCTCGCCGATACCGTCGAAAGGCAGCCTACGTGTGAACATCACGTTGAACCACGCATCTTAATAAATAAACGCGTGTCCTGACCTGTACTCGTCCCCAACCTTGACCTTAACCCTAAGGTGGCCTGTATCAGGAAGGCCTACGAGGACAAGTACGGCCGTTCTCTGGCCAAGACGATCGAGAAAAAGTTCTTTGGGAAGATGGAGGATGCCCTGCTGTCGCTCCTATTCGACCCCATCGAGAATTTCGCCAGAGGGCTGAAGGCCGCCTTCCACGGCCTGGGCACGGACAAGGTCAGTCGTTCTTGCTGTATGAATACGAGGGCCGGTTATCTTCGTCCGTTACGCCGACCGAACTCAGAAGCATGAGATATAGCTCGACATATCGACCTTAGCCTGGTCTCTCTTCTCCTCCTCTTCCTCATTCCTCCCCATCGCCCTGTGCCCACCCATCCCTCTCTCTCTCTCTCTCTCTCTCTCTCTCTCTCTCTCTCTCTCGTTGCCTGAAGGATGCCGTGTGCCGCATCCTGGGCGGCAACGACAAGCAAACGTGCCGTTTGATTGCTGAACGGTTCGAGCAGAAGTACGACCAGTCGCTTGTTGACGCCCTCAAGGACGAGCTCCGAGGTAGGCAACATTGCTGTTTTGTGAATGTTGGCATTGTGCTGTTGATGCCGTTGTTGTTGTTGTGGCTGCTGCTGCTGCTGATGATGATGATGACGATGGTGATGATGATGTCGTTGTTGTTGTCTTTGCTGATGGCCAAATTACTTGTAAAGAATGGCTTCCCTTACATATGCCACGTACACGCACACGACAGCGCCACAAGTACGGGGCATAATCACGCAATTACCGAACCGCCCCTGCCACCACCCGTGCAGGAAAATTCGAGAAAGGTACCGTCGCATGGGTTTCTGCCATCGACCCCGCGGCCGGCAAAGAAGGTTTCCGGATCGCGAGGGAGCCGAGTGAGCAGGAAGACCAGGTACACAGACGGCCAAATCTTTCCGCACCGGCTATTACAACAGTCTACGACTCGAAGACTGCAGTCATGCATGACCATGAGTAACCCGCCCCCGTCCGTCGAGCAACAGTTTTCGCAGGCGTTGGAAGTGGCTCTAGTCTCGTTTTGGTGCAGACACCTGGGCAATGGTAGAAGGACTCCCGCGTACACAGAATGATTATGTCCTCCCTTACGGTCAAGTCGCTTTAGAGCCGCGAACAAGCGAACGAGGTCGCCAGTTCTCACCCTGAAACCCCTAGGATGATTGTCCCGCCCTTCGACCTCCCAAATGCGTCCCACACACATTAACACATACGAGGACCGCGTGGCTGAGTATCGGTGGTTGTTGAAATCTACGTCAAGCCCTTTTCATACCACAGTGTGGATCATCGGTAGTGGTTGATCGAGCCGTGAAGTGTCGTTCCCGGTACCCTGACAGTCTCTGTTCTATGGGGTTCTAACCTGTGTCTGTGGGTTTGCCGCTGTGCAGGAGGAGGAAGAGGTGGAGGAGGGAGAGATAGAGACGCCACGCAAGGGAGGGCAACCCGAGGAAGAGCAGGAAGAGGGTAAGGTTTTCATAAGTGCGGCAAGAAGAAGCAACCGTAGACCGTGAATGACAAGGACCAAAAGCTTGGTTGGAAAAATGCTTCGAGTTGATGGTCTCCAACAACAAGCGTTTCGAACAAGTCTGAGGTTCCGGGCGCGTAGTCCTTTTGCATTGGTAGAATCAGAAATATTCGCTGCAGTCCCTCAATACTGCGCGACCTCCGGGGAACTGAAGATTGGCGTCACCGAAGATACTCCGATGGCCTCCGGCCTCCGAAAAGGATGGCAATTATTGCACTACCGGAAGGGACGACCGAACCCTTCGTCCGATGATGAATTGATTGTCTCAGAAATTTCAATCAGAGGTTTGTTCCAACTCTCAAAACGATTTCGTTAGCAATGGTGAGAGAAGGCTGTGCCACTACAAGTAGACATTACAGAGGAAGACCTAGTTTTGGTGAGTGTTCTGTACATGTTGTTCCAAGAAAAGGTCATGTCTGCCCCTTCGATGCCTTCCTCCAAGCATTTTGACGTCAGCACGAAGGACCGTATCGTTAAACCTCAAAACTTTCCTTTTCCAGAAGAAGGCGAAGAACAGCCGGAGGAAGAACCTGAGGAAGGAGAGGAAGAGCCGGACGAAGGAGAGGAGGAGGAAGACGAGGAAGAAGAAGAAGAAGAGGAACCAGACGAGGAGGAGGAGGAAGAAGCAAGGAAGGTGTGTACGTGTGTTGCTTGTCCCCGCGCGTGCCTCCACATGTAAATAACGTGTTTCGCCATGAATAGCCAGGCAGCAAGTAGACAAAGCGAGCATCCCCTCCAGTCCTGCCCGATCGCTCTACTCGGTTGCATAGTGACAAGGAGCTCCCGGGGGGAAAGGGGGCAGACAAACAACAATTCGTGATGTAAATGCGGAAGAAAATCCGAAGGTTCGCGGTGTCTCTTTCAGAAGTAGAAGGTAGGTCCGTCTCGAAAGGGATAATTCGTCGTCAACTGCCACAACGAAAAACCAAACCGCGAACGAGTACCCCTCGGGCGCCTTCTCCCTATCGTTAGGAAAGTCCTTAGGAGCGCGTTGTATGGTTCGGGAAAGATAAGGACCCACCCCGAACGCGCGCCACAAGATTGACGTCTAATGTCGGGTGGTCAGGTAAGCGTGCTCAACCCCAAGTTAAGAACCCTCACGAACGCTCTCATTTGTGTGCGAAACCATGTCATGTAGGAGCGCCAGGCGGCCAAAAGGGCTGCCAAGAGGGAAAAGGCCAAGCGGATGCGGGCTAGAATGGCCAGGGCCAAGCGCCAGGCCGAGGCGGAGGAAAAGAGGAAGGAAAAAGCCAAGCAGAGGAGGATGTTCGCTCAGAGGGTACGTGGTGTTGTGATAACAATCGTCAGCATGCCTCTTGTGCTGGTGGCGGGTGGGCGACGTAGCCCTTGCCCTGTAAACAAAACTCTCTATTGGTGCACAATTCTTTGTTTACTTTGACCTCGCATGAGTTTTCGTAGTCTTTCCTCGGCCACTGACCAGGAGCCTAGTTGAGTGAGAATTTTTTTCGTGTATTCAGCGATGGGATTAATGCGGCGGTTGCAAATGCCCGAGACAACGACGCCTCGTTGGTGGCCGTAATAGTTGGCCGCCCGCCGCCGTTTGGAGGACGGCTCAACGTCTATTTGTTTTGTCTTCATGTATTTATCTCCCCTCCATGCTCCCCTTACCGATGTGTGATTACCCCCGTGGTAATATTGCTGTGTTGTTTTAAAGGTGAAAAAGATGGCCAAAGCTTCGCGCGAGCAGGTGGTGTTTGCTGAGGAAAGGTGGGAGAGAGAAGCAGAAACGGCTCTCTAACAAGATCAAATGTCACTGATTGTACTTGTGTTGTTCCTGCTGATACGCTCCGAATCGTGCAGTGCTGCTAACGTTTTGGTCGGTACATTGTTCGGAAATAGTGCGGCACCTACAGAATTGGGTGACGCAGTTTTAGTTGGAAGGCGTGACGAAATAAGCCCCCTAAGAGTACGGCAACAACGAGGATAACGCCACCAAGAAGAACCTCAAAAGCGTTGAACAGTAGATGATTATATGCGTACAACTGCTGAATTGTATGATGATTCTTTTGCCCACGAACCTCGGAAGCATCGAACGTTGCCGGAGTATATGCGTACAATTGCTGACTTTCGTGATGATTCTTTTGTGCACGATACGCCCTCATAGGTACGGCAGTGACGCCATCGAGGGTCTCACCGTGTGGGGCAAGTGGGACTCGGAACTGTACTTTAAGCACAACGAGGACATCGAGGGAGAGCACGGCTGGTCGCACTTCCGTAGTGAGTGACAACTGTTGCTCTTGGTGGTGTTGGAGTGGTGTGGGTGTTTGTTGTTGCTCTCACCGACGATGGTTGCAACGACGCGCGATGCGCGCCAGAAAGAAACCCCAGGGCACTCAAAGCGATTCCGACTCAACCTCTTGGTAGCAACGTCTAAAACACGGTGAGAGTGGCCAACGAAGTCCGTAACTCACCACGGAAACTGTCAACTGGTCAAAACCATCATATTGAATACAGGACGAAAGAACTTCAGCTACTTAACTTTCTCTCACGCTAGCCGACTCCCACAATTGTACGGTTACATCTCCCTAAAACCCAATGTACTCCTCCGTAAGAGGGCGAAAGAAGCGAATCCACTGGGAGCGACATACTTAGAACCAAACCTACGGTGCACTCATCAATGCAAAGCTCCAGCGAGTGGGTGAGCTGGGCTGCACACGCCCATTTGTGGGCGAGCAAGACATCGAACCACCGTCACCCCCCCCCCACCCGTGGGCAGGCACGCTAAACCTTATTACCACTCCCTCTTTGCGGCCGGTTTGTTGCGGACTCTGCGGTCGCATCGATTCAGAGAGCGGTTTCTCGGAGGGCAGACTCGTGCGTATCGACAACAACTTCGGCGCTTTCGTGGGCGTGGTGGACATGTCCGCCTACATGGACAAGCACGATATCAACGCTAGCGCCGTCGGAAAAAGGCGTCCGTTCGAGAAGCCTCTGACCGGGTTCAAGCACTACGTGGAGACAGGTTGCGATGAGGGTCTCGACATCGCCATCACGCATGTGGGTGGTTATTGTTGTTGGTGTTGTTGGTGTTGGTGTTGTTGGTGTTGTTGTTGGTGTTGTTGGGGCGATTTTGGTGTTGGTTTCTGGTCGGCCCAATTGTTGGAGTTGAGGGCCTTGGTGGCCTTAGTGACGGCGATGGTGTTCATGCCAGTGTGATTATTGTTGATGCGGAAAGGCAATGGTCGCTGCGGCCGTTCGTTGGCGTTGCACAGGTCGTCCCGATCTACCTCCTTGGAGATTTCAACCACCGCAAGTACATCAGCGTCAACAGAAACGCCAAGCAGGAGATGGCACCCCCGCGGCCGGGAAAGTTCGATGACGAGGGCTACAGGTAACGAGAAAAGGAGCAGCACCAGTGCTGTTTGTTGTGGCGTGTTGCGTTGCATTGTGCTGCTCTCTGCTGTGATCTCCTGTAGGGGCCATCGGTCTTTCTCGACAGAACATGTTCAACTCTTCCAATTCACGTTGTTGCTGTCTCCCGTGCCTTTCCGGCCGCGACCTCCATGCCCTTTCAACTCTACGCACGTTTTCGCATGCTCCATGGCTCAGTTGTGGGTACTTGGTCTAGCATATGCACCCACCCCTGCCCTTTCCTCATCTCTTCCTCCTCCCCTCTCCCATCCCTGACCCGAAGCAGGCACAATGCCCTCCCCGCCTCTACCTTCTTCTCTCGCAAAGCAACAGCCCCCGTGCCCCCACCCTCCTGGCAGGAAGCTGCACCCGGAGATCGAGGACGAGGGTTTGGAGCCGTTCGAGCATTTCAAGGCCAACAGGCGGAGCGAAATCTGCGTGCGCGGAAGAGCGGGCAAGGTTAACAGGAGGTTTGTGCCGTTGTTGCTGTTGTTGTTGTTGGTGCTGTTTCAAGCGATCCCTTTCTCGCGGCCTGTGCGACATGACCATCATCGACTTCGACACACCTTTTCATTGAACGTGATTGTCGCGTGTCTGCTTTCAAGAGTAGCGTTGATTGCTTTCTGTGATTTCCCAGTAGCTCTACTCATTTCCAGGTGTGTTTTCACACAAACTCACCGGACGTTCCGACTTGACCTTGGCTAGATGTCCATTATCGTACAGTAATCCAAACTGTAGTGTTGCCCTTCGAAAAGCGATCCCCACTCTGAAAGGGTGGATTCCTGCAAGTGGACCACACGACTACCGCAATATTATGGTCCACTTGTAGCCTGTTCCGACATCTATGACCCCCTCATCCTCCCCCCCTTCGAATGTAACGGAACTTGGCGATATAGCGCGTGTCTGGCCAGTAGAAAACCCACCTGCTACTTCGCTTGTACCAGAATACGCGCTGCGACGTGCACAGCGATGGGCACCCCCCCCCCTCTCCGCATCCTAGGAACAAGGATCTATGTACGGTCTGACCACTGGAGCCAAACATGACCATAGCCCCCCCCCCCCCCC